GGAGGGAGACTGCAACAGAAGGACTCCTCTTACCAACCGTGTCTGGGAGGATCGGCCTTCATCCACAGGTATAAAACCTCAGTTTGAGAGTTCGATCGATTTAGCGTTAACTGATTTGATACAGTATCTGTTGAAGTGGTTGCCTGGAAGGTGAAAATGTCTTGAACTCATCATAACAATTCTGTCGCTCTGCCTTTTGCAGGTTCAACTCCAACTCCCTTCCCCTGTAACCCGCTGATCATGCGTTTCCCCAGTGGGACGGTGTCCGCTCCCTCCCCCTCTTCTGGCCAGCTGGGAGGCCAGGGCCAGGGCCCAGGACCTGGGCAGGGCCGGTCCTGGGAGGAGGAGCCCAAGCCTCTACTCATGTCTCAGTACGAGACACTGTCTGACAGCGAGTGACCCAGAAATCTGTCGTACCACAAGACCCGCTAACAGTCAACCAACTCTGTGCTGCTGCAGCCACACACACACACACACACACACACACACACACACACACACACACACCTGCTGAGGCATCTGCAAACCTACCCACACCATTCCACTCTGCATTTCCTCTGTCAGTTTTCAAGCAAGGATTGTGTCCTCCTCCTTTCACACACCTGAGACGCCAAGCAGCAACGAGCTGAGACACTGCTGCTCCGTGTGTGTGTGTGTATGTTTGCACTTACGTGTTATGCATTCACTCCAGGACTACTCTAAAGGACAAATCACTTTTTTTCTGTTTGTTCTTCTTTTCTTTTTCTTTTTTTTTTTTTACTTTACTACTTTTCCTCACTGGCCTTATCAATATAGACACATTGACCTGCACCTTTGGGTGTACCGCTCTAATGCGCTGACACTTATGTAGAAGGGACTCTGAGGTCGTGTTGCTGGTCCGGTCAGGAGCCTGATGACGGCTGCTTGAGTGACAGATTTTGACCACAGATCTGACCTGAGAGCAGCAGCCCTGCACAGCGAGGACCCTCTCACGTTTCTACACGGTGAACTCCAGGTGCAGATGGCCTGAGCACTGCTACCACTACAAGAACACATGCAAAGCAACGGGAGGAGAATCAACATCTTGTTTTTTTTTTTCTTGTTTCGGTTCTTTATTTTGCTCCTTTAAATTCAGTCAGTCCAGTCCTGTGTTTGGAACGTGAGCTGAGACCTTTAGTACATTTTGATGGTGAACTTTTGATGGTGTCATTTGTTGTCTATTATCTGCAATGATGTATCTTTTTTGGGGCAGGGGCAGGGGCAGGGGCCAGAGATTGTTATGCGGGAGGGTCATATCATTGGTTTACAGGGTAAACATGCTGTTCATTGCTGATGTCGTCATATATTGGGGTGGGGGGTGGGGGCGGGGGTTCCTGAGGAAAGGCAAAGGCCTGTTGACTTCAGGCATCCATGTGGGGAGAGAGATGATTTGCCAGATGGATGGCACTGAAACAAGTGACACTTTCTCACTGTTTTTATATTAACCATGTCTGTGTTTGTTGAAACAGTTTTTGGATATTAAGCACTTAGTTGTCAGTCTGTTCACAATGGCATTTTTAAGAATCTGTGTTTCCTGGGGCAGGTTGAAAAATGGACTCAAGAACAGCATAGAAATCCCACTGTGGAGGTATCCTTTAACACCTATCTGTTTATTTTGGTCTTGCCACCGATATTCTTTATGGCTCCCACACTCAAAGCGACAATCACATTTTAGTGAACGACGACTAAGCCGCTTCGAGCAGGTGCAGACCAACCTTAAAGCTGCTTAAAGGCAAACTCCTCAGCATTACATGGAGTTTGCTCGCATTGAAGAGGTGACACAAAAAAAGCCATCTTTCTATGACCCTTGGTCCATGGCGGTGTCAGCTTCAGCTGGCCCGCTAGAATCCCGTCTAGGAGCTGTTGTGACGGCCTGACCTCTGACCTTTTACTGCCTAGAGGAGGAGCTGAGACCCAACTTCTCATCCAGGCAGATTTTGTACAGTTATGAGATATTCCTAGTGTTAAGTGCCATTTATTTTACATATACAGTACTGAAGTTACCAAGTGACGCACAACTTTTCTTTTAGCCCCCCATGACAGGGTTTATACTGTCCACGCAGGGAAATCTGAAAACAAAACAGAAACGTCCTCTTTTTTTTAAAGAAAAAAAATTGTGTGCATTTTTTCTTCTTTTTTTTCAAATCCATCACAGCCTTAGCTTTTAACTTTTTCACTCATTAGATTTATCTTCAAACCAAGCTGTGTCACAGGGCAGCTTAGCTGGGCCTGCATCAAACATTCTCTCCACTTTGACATACTTCAAGTGTACGTCATTACACCCCCATGTTTGTACTGGTCGGAGGAAGTCGAGGGGAAGGCATCGGAAAGCATTCTGGTAGTTTTATGTAACATTAGTTGACATGTTCTCACAGTTTACTGCAGTATTTTAAAGGTCACCCTCTCTGTAAATGATGTGAAATGTGTCCAGCTTTTGGCTCTGTGCAACCAGGGACGAATTCTGTCCTCTGACTGAACACTCTGAAGCGATGGCAGTGAGATTGTTTAATGGTTTAGAAAGAATTACCTCTCTATCTTCATTTAGTCACAGTGGATTCTCACAAACATGACTGTTATAGGACTACCTCCTCTCCCTCCTTCATCCTACCTGTCAGTGCTGAAGCATCCAGCATGCCACATCTGCAGAAAGCTCAGCCATGTTTAAGGTCTGATGTTTTTTTTTTTTTTTTTTGGTTGTTTTTTTAAATCATGGCTGATGGAGGGTTTGTAATTTCATCAGGAAACGGCAGAAATACAGCCAGGCTTTGTACATTGGTCTCTCTGCGTGTATATCATTTATCCACTGATGATATTTAAGAATGTGACGGTAAACAGACTAAGCCATATCCAGCTGTTCCCTAAACCGATAATGGACTAATGTGTTGTTTTTAAAAGTATACTGAAATGAATTTTAACATGCATCCATTTTTGTTAAGAGTTTGTTTTGATTTCAATCGTGTCACAAATCTCAAAATAATCATTCAAAAAACATGAAAAGACAAAGTTGATTTCTGATGTGTTCCCTGGACTGTCAAAGGGGGGAGGGGTGGGGGGATTGACATAAACAGTACATTGTTCAACCATTTTGTGCATAATGATTTTTTTTTATTATAACCCACTGTATAATAGCAAGGATTGTATATAAAACTGAAGAGATGTAAATATTTATGTGGCTTGCTTCAAGGTTGGTATTACAAAAAAAATAAATAAAAGAAATATTCACATGGTTAAAATTCTACATGCCCACCAGCAAGCTTTGTGGATAGCAGTGTAAAAATGAAAAACAAAAAAGACACTGCCTTAATGTTTAAATAAAAAGCTTATTGCCATTCATGGTCTCAGAGTGTTGTTATTTTAGTGGTGTGTGTTTGTGTTGGATTTCAGTGTTCTCACACTTTCTTTTATTCATTTTGGCCCACAGGCACGTCTGACAGGCCCAAAGTAGTGAACATCAAGTACCACCAGGGGGCAGTATAAGCATATTTTTACTAGCTATGAATTGAATATGTCTGATACAGAATTCTGGAGAAGACAATTTATCACTAATAATTGAACACGATTAAGTAACAAAATACAGCCTTGACCCTTGTTAATGCTGCAGTTACTCTCGTGATGAAGTACATAAAATTAAACATTAAAACTGATAAGAGAATACTGCTGATAATCTCATTACAATGTAATGTTTTTGCTGGGAAACCTTGGATCCTGGCATTCATGTGGATGACACTTAATAAGCGCCACCCACCCAAACACCTTGGCAGACCAAGTACACCCCTTCATGGCAGGACAATGTGCCAAACCACACCATAAAAACTTCTCAGGGTTGGCCCAAGGAATGTGACAAACTGCTCAAGACATCGACCTGGCTCCCCAGTTCCCAAGATCCCAATTCCATCAAGCATCTGTGGAACGTGCCAGTACCCCACATCTCAGCCCAGAGGACTCAAAGGATCCACCACCAACCCCCAGGATACCCCCAGAGGCCCTGTGTTCATGCCTCAACAGCTCAGAGCCAAGTCCGATCCAAGAAGGCCTCACCGTGGCTCAGACTTGCCTCTGAGGTACTGGCACATCCCACGAATGCTCGATTGGATTAGATTTGGGGAATTTTGCAGCCAGGTCGAGGCCTTGAGCTGTTTGTCAAGTTCCTTGGGCAATTCCTGAGCAGTTTTTGTGGTGTGGCATGGTGCATTGTCCTGTTGCCATGAGGGAGTGTTCTTGTTTTGCAATGGTGCTTAGGTGGGTGGTGTGTGCCAAGTGGCATTTACTCGAACATGAATTCCAAGACCCAAGGTTTCCCAGCAGAACATTTCATTGTAATGAGATGATGGAGATTATTCTCTTCATCTGTTAGTGGTTTTAATGTTTTGGCTGATCGTTGTGTTTGTTGTACAAATGTGCTTCTCAGCAGCCTCTCATCTGGTCTCCTGATCTCCTGTACTTTCGTTAAGCTCCTATGAAGGTCAGACAACTTGCCTCTTATGACCCCTCCCCATCCTTACAAAGTCATATATTTATAAAAGTATAATATACTACTTCTATCCCATGGAAGTATTTCATTTTGTAGCCTCCAGAAGTGTCTTTGTTTGCAGTCTTTTGACAGGACAGACGAGTGCTGAACAGTCAACAGTTTCTCTGACTTAAACTGAACTTGCCGATCAGATCGTAATTGAGAGATGAAGAGCAAATTTGGACAAGTAAACCATCTCTAAGGACATCAGATAAAGCATTTTGTTGTTGAGACTTCTCTCATTAGAGGAGAATCTTCATGAATAAATAATTTACTGCTTAGAAACTCGCTGGGAGTCAATATTCAGGCTTCCTTTGCATTTGAAAGAACACTGATTTTCACAGCCTAGAAAGCATCAAATCAAAGTGTGTGACCCACCCCTCTGTGGCTGGAGAACTTCATCTTTCTTTCAGAAGGCTAAGCAATATCGTGTGATCAAAATGAAGCAAAATATGAACTCAACACAACAGAATTAGGGCTTGGGAATTGCTTCTTTTTATTCATTTAGGATATACATCTTTTTAAATTATTTTCTTTGATCAGAACAAGAACTATGATTGACGTACAAAAATATAAAGAGAATTATGAAGTGCCTCGATGCCACATATACAACAGGAAAATATTTTACAGTAACAAAATCAAGTGTTAGGAAACACAAAAGCATCTCACATAAAACCACCAACGTATTTAACTTGACACCCACCAACTTTCTCTCATCATTCTCTGACATTTCACAGACCACCTACACATAGCAAAACTCTCCATCATCTTGCCAAGAACTTTACTGTTCAGTATAAAAAGCCATCTTCAAAACAATTTCCTGACCTCATTAATGTTTCTTTTTAAAGAGCCGATCTGACATTTCTCCCCTTGTTCTGCCACTTACTGTTCCCTCATTAAAACCCAGTACCCATCTTACAGTACTGTTGCACCACCTCTTGTGCCCTCCACGTACCTCCTACCCTTACACTAATCTGGAGGGTATTTCAAACTATAAAAAATAACAAGACTGCAAGTTCAACACCTCAACTGAAAATTGGGAATACACATTTCCAATGAAGTAAAACTGATACCCATGAAGATTTGAGGTAAAGTCTGAAGTTTCAATATTTGCCATGTTCAGTTATCTAAATATATATATATATATATATACTGGATACGACAGACACAGAAAGAAGTCATAAAAACGCTCAATAAAAATCTATTTTACATCTTCAACGGGGAAATCTGCTCCACTTTTTACGTGTTACTGATTACAGAGGGGGTTGATGGTTTTGAGCTAACGGTTCAAAAATTGTCCAATATGACAGTGTGTTAATATCTGAAAACAACATGGAACACTCTGCTGCACCAGCTATTCATAAATTCAAGCCTTGTCGTGTTTAGTGTTGAGTTTAGTGTTTATAGGAGATTAACACATCACTAAATTTAAAGTTTATGCATCACACAAAGTAGTTCTTATAGAGAAACTGGTTATTATGTGTAACTTCCGGGTGTAACTGTTAGTGACTGTACGTAACGGTAGCTAACACAACCAACTGACAAAGCTCACGTTAGCTTGCTTATAGGCTATAAGACCCATTTAGACCCATTTGACCCAATGTGATTAATGTCCGAACATAATGCGTTTTGTTTTTTTTTCACCAAGACAAACTCCCATACGTCTCAGTTGACGAGTCCAAATTAATATGCACCTTATGTCTAACGGAATTAAAATATCACCGAAGTACTTTGAATTTAAGCTACCACCTATGAACTAATTTTGAACTGTTTTTTTTTTTTTTTACTATTTTTAAAAAGTTATTGATTCATAGAATGGAGAGAAGAGGTAATAATACGACTGAAGTGTCTGACCTGACATTTGGGAAGATTTTAAATAAAAAAAAAACATGACTATAATATCAGAATAAACGACCAGATCACATTAGCTAGGTTAGCATAAACAAAACAAATTCTTACCTACATTTAGAAATGATTACTAGTTACATTTAATATATCATCCCACTAAAACTAGAATTTTGTGATGCTTCAGTGACTTTGGATTTTTTCGGATGAAGCTGCAGACAGTTCTTAAGTATTAATAGTGCAACATGATTTAGTAGGCTATATCTCAAGTTTGAAACTATCAACTAGTTAGCCTACTTCATGCACAAACTTGGTGATGTATTTACGAATAGCTGGTGCCTAATCCAGAACAGTGTTAGCCTCATTTTGAGAGGCATTTGAAACAATAATCCTTGTACCACGAAACCATCCAGACAATCGCAGTTGGAAATACTTCTTTTTTTTATGTTTGACTCTCACGGAGAAGTAGATGACTGAACGCCACGGCTTCCGCTTCCCCCGATTGTCTATTTCTTTTTGGCACTTGTGTGAGCAGCTGCACCATCTGACACCAAAGCGGGTTAAAAACAAACAGATTAAAAAAAGCAAACCAATACCCACCGTGCTCAAAGGCCCTGAAAACATGTCTGTTCTCAATCATCTTTTAACAACAGATGATGTGGTCCAGATGAAGCAGATTAACTGAGTTTTTAAGTGTTCAGCTCTTAATAAATAATGGATGTCCCCCTCCCAACTTCATTGATTGTTGCTCTGCAGCCAAACAAGCTAAAAAGAACCTGTTTACCAAAACACCCTCATTTATAATCTCAACCAGAGTATTCAAATTAAGTCTTAACAGAGGTTTAACATAAGATAAAAACCATAACTGCGGTGATCCAGTATTGTTGAATATTGAATGTTACAGACAATTTAAGATTTGAAACCTAAGTTTTCAGAGGCTTTAAATATCTCCCTTTTTAAACTTATTCTCCTGGCAATCTGCTGTTATTGTGCTGTGATCCTTCTATTCATTAGTCTTAATTCTGCAGAGCACTCAGCTGAATAAACAGGACACCTTGCAGAGTGTAGAGGGTTTAATTAAATGCTTGATCAAACTAGACAGGCTGCTGTTTGTGTGTTAATTAAAACTGTAAAACAAAATCAAGTGCTCTGTCTCAGAGTGTGGGGTTATTACAAAGATATAAACTGCTCAAACTATCTTTGGTCCAATTTTGTTTTATATGCTGTACTGACATCCCCCCCCCTGCAATGCCAAGTCCGCTGGGAGGACTGTGATATATAGAAAACAAGTGCAATAAAGCCATATTAGAAAGCTTTGCATTGGTGTGACTGGGTTTGCGCAGGCTCGGCTGAAATCCACCACACATCTTCTCGACTTTTCTCTACATGCACAGACGTTTACAGTCTGTTACCTTCACTGAGGTTACAATCCAACCTGAAAAGAGAGCAAAGGCCACCAATTTGTCAGCTCTTGTATTAAATAAGACATTAACCATTGAAGTGCAGCTTTAAACTGCCGGAGGACAGACTCCCTTTTTAAAGACTGCATCAGTAGAAAGTCTAAATACACTCAGGTGAAACATCACTAAAGGGTTCCCAGAGTTTCCTCCATGGTGAGTATAGATGAACAGAGTAGGATTTTTAGGGGCTCCGGGTATTACTTGAAGTATTTCCCTTTCGATACGGGCCTTCCCAAGTTCCTCGTCCTCCAAAACAAACGTGATGATCACCAGGTAGCCCTCTCCCAGTGCCGTCTGGGCCCTACAGGTCCTCTGTGTAGATGATACAGGGACTAGTGTCCTCGCTCGACTCCAGCTGCACTGTGGAGACAAACCAGCGGCGGGAGCCTGTGGCGTTGTAGTTGAGCGTGGTGCGGTAAGTGTTCTTGGCGTGCTTCGGATAGATGATGGTGGTGCTCTGGTAGCTGATTGGCTTCTGCCGCGGCTCCAGGTACACCTGGGACTTGTAGCTCCTCCAAGTGCAGTTCCGCACTGCCACTACTGTCTCGCTGAAGGAGGTGGCTGTGGGGACGGGGGCGCAGTACACCCGGTCTCTGTAATGCTTGTCGGAGTCGTACTTGACCTCAGAGTTGCACCTGAACAGGAGAAGGTGAGAACTCTTTAGAAACACATCTGAAATTGGTCACTAGGTGGCAGTGTTGACAAGACAATATTGATGAAAATCAGTGCCCTAGGCTCCATATTCAAACAAATTCTGTGTCTTTATGTGTCAAAGTTCTCTTACTTGATTTCCTGCTCTGGTTTGGGGTTGACCTCGATGCTTTCCCCAAAGAACACAGGGTACATGCGAGTCTTTGGGTCTGTGCCCGTGGAGTTAAGCAGCAGGTAGGGCAGCTGTGCGGAGGAAACACAATCAGGAGTCAGTTAAAAACAATCTCACAAAAAACATCCATGAACTGCTGAACTGTTTGTAACCAGCCTGCCAACGTGTCCATTCAAAGAATTCCAGTAAAAAATCCCAGCATGGTTGGGGGTTTCAGCAGAGCCAGCAACCCAAATTAAAAACACTGCAGTCCCCACCCTCTCAAGGAAAACACGCGCCTTGATCCGCCCTCATGTGTCCGTGGCATGACTATTACTACAACAACTATTAGACAAGAAGCACAGCAGTCGGGGCAACACTTCCATTTTAATTCAGATAATTACGCAGTGTGGGTCCAGCCAAATTAAGTGTTGGTGGTAAATCTCTTTCTGGCTGGCTGGAGACGTGTGACCCTGACACAACCTGTGTGTATGTGTGTGTGTGTGCGCGTGTGTGTGTAGACTGAAAACAGGCTTACAGATGTTGGCCCTGCAGTAGTTACAGAAATGCTAAATGCGCTTACTGATATGAGTCTCTAGAGCAGCTGGTAGCCAGACTGAGTGGAGATGATGCTGTTAGAAAACGATAATGAGGTGATGTTGAAAGATTCTCGTACTGCCTGCCAGCCTGCACAGGGAGGTCAGAGGTCTCATGGGAGAAAGTTATCTAACTGAAAGACAGTCTGTAAAAGGTCTGCAACTAACGATTATTTTTATTATCTATTAATCTGCCCATTACTTTGTCTATTAGTCATTTCGTCAATAAAATGACTAAAAAAATAGTGACGCAAGCCCTGTGTACTATCCCAGAGTCCAAGGGTACGCATTATAATGGTATGTTTATTCGACCAACAGCCCACAAATCCAAAGCTATTCAGTTTGTTATCATGTATGACAAAGAAAAGCATCAAATTCTGATATTTTAGAAGCATTAAAACCTTAAAAAACTTCTGAAATCATTATTCGATGATCAAAATAGTTGTCAATTTTCTGTCAATCGACTACAAATTGAACCAATTCGACTACGATCAAAACAATTAATCGACTAATCATTGCAGCTTTAGTCAGTAATGACACATGCTATGTCTTCATTATATTTCTTGATTCTTATGAAAATCATGATTTCTATGGGTTCAAATTATCAACTTGAGTAAGAGGGTGTCTCCTCTCTTCAGGTTCATCTTAACCTGTGGCCACTGTCACCACTCCACCTTCTTCACACATTAGAGCTGTTTCACACAGTTCACACACACAGTTTGATGCTTTCTGGGGCATAAAGTACTTTTAAAACCAAAATATTAGACAAAGGCTGCAACTAATCCTTATTTTCACAGTTAATTCATCTGACCGTTATTTTCGCAATCAATTGTTTGCTGAATGGAATGCAAAACAAATTTATTATTTTTTTATTTATTTATTTATTTTTTTTTACCAAAAGTCCCCATAAAAAAAAAACACATTTTCAACTAACTATCGCATGACACCACTTTGTTTATTTTTGACAAGTTCAAACAAGGTAATGTTCAGCATTTTGCGTAAAAACCCCTTAAATAATATCAAAACTTCTGCAAATTGGCTGATTTTTTGTTTAAGCTCTAATCGGTTTCTGTAGGCATAGGCGTAGATTTCAGGGGGGGTGCAAGGGACAATGCCTCCTCAATATTTAGAATATGCACATTTGCACTCCCCAGTAAAAACATGAAAGTAGAAAGGGACAAATTTAAAGATATTTACACCAAAAATTCATGCAGAAAATTCTTGCATAAAAAATCACCAGAATGGCGAAAAGTTAAGTGTTTGGCGCTCAAAATTTTCTAGCGAAGGACTCCTAAACCCCCTGTTTAATCTGTGCCCCCCTCCAATATTGAAACAAAACCTACAGCCCTGCCTATGTAAGTAATCCAATGAACCATGTGGTCCTATTAAGGTCCAGTTAACCAACACTGATACCGCAAACACAAACTGACGTTCCTGTAGGAATCATACAAATGTTACTGCATTGGTTTTCATGGGATTAATTCAGGTCATCTGTTTAAAACAGTGTACAACACCAGATGAGATACAGATATACTGTACTCAACTACCTGTAGGGACCAGGTCTGTTTTAATGCTGACCCTTGACCTCTGAGTGTTCCGTGTGAAGCCATAAGGGGGCAAACAGATCTGCACCAATCAGAAACACAGATACTGCCACACACACACACTGTGAAGGAAGGTTGTAATGGACCGTTTTCTTTGCATGTGTGTCTCTGACGGATCTGAATCAAATGGCACCCCAACCGCTACTCCAGCACCTCTCACATTACAGAGGGGAGGCTGTCACATGCTGTGCTTTGGCCACAGTTAAGCGCACATGCCACTACAGGGGACGAACAAGAACAGGCCAAGGGCATAGCAGATCGCCGTGTGAAGCTCGTCTTACCTACAGCCTACAATCATCACCACACACTATCTGAGCGGTGGAGCTGAACTTGCACAGCTGCTAGTTTTGCCACGCCAGACTGAATAAAAAAAAAAAAAAAAAAAAAAAAATCTGCAGGCCATTTATTTTCTGCTGCTGGTACTTCGTGAATTGAAAAACTGCACGAGTATGTCTTTACCCATGCTGCTCCGGCATGGAGAGCATCCCAGGTATTTCTCCACGGTGAGTTCTGGCAACTTCTGCAAAGCAAACACTCGTGAATGGAGGGTAGGTCACCTCCAGGGAGGCAGTGGATCCCCCAGTAAGCACACAAAGCATAACCCCCCCCACCCCCTGGAAGCACATTTCTGCCCAGGAAAAATAGTCTGCAGCTGAGCAACCCACACAATGTACAATGCACAATGCAGAGCTGCAGAGAGAAACGCCAACTCAAACACACTTTTCCAACTGCTGGCTGTTTGGTAAAGTGAACTGACTTTACATCCTGCGTTTGCAAGGACGTTAATGTAAGAGCATCAGTATCACACGGTGAGGCAGATTTAGAAAAAGACATAAGATCTGTCTCCTGTCTGTCCTCCTGTCTAATCCACCGACACTTGACCGGTATCCTTGAACAGGACATGCACACAACCTTCTACAACTCAGAAACAGAGACTACATGACCACACTCGTGTTTTTCATGCATCTGTCCCTCTGGTTAATTAATTCATATGTTAAGAAGTGAAAATATAAGAATAATTATCCAACATCTGCATAAATGCGACCCAGGTTTGAAAACAGACATGCTGCCTGAGGGTTACTCCACGTTTTATTTAGAAGTGAGAGGTCATCAAACACTTATGCAATGCCCTGCAGCCACTCTAACAAGCCCCCTGCTCCCCAAAATAGAACTTCAGGATTGTTCTTAGGTGGCATACAAAAACAACACATAAATAGATTTGGAAAGAAAAAAAAATCAAGCACACATGTGCCTCCTCTTGTCCTGCTAACAGACACGTAACTTAAAAATATCTGATGGAGAGGTCTGATTCATTCCATACACACGGGCCCACAGATTGCAGTCGAAACACAAGCAGGAGCAGCCCCCTATCAGGACTGATCTTTAAAAGGAAAACCACATAGCAGAGGACTCCTACTAATCTGAACCTCCAAAGGATTAGAGGATCTCTCTCTTTCTCTGTTTCAGGCTTCATCAAACCAATGTCACGCAACTCCCAGGATGAAGTGCTGCATTTCTGAGGCCTCCCTCAGACACTCTAAAAGCCACCTCGACGTGTGCAGACATGTTCTGTAAGACTTTTGAAACTGGGAGTGACCTGGAAATGATTTTCAATCAAATCAGTCTCGTCATGAGTGACACAAATCACTGCCGTGTGTGTCCCTGAAATGCTTTGGGCACCATCAATTATCATTAAACTGAGTTTCCATGGAGAATAGTCTACTATGTGTAGTATCATGTCTGTTCTCAGCTGAATAAGTGCTAAAATAGGTGTACTGACTGTTTGTGTGGCCCATTTAAAGTATAGTTTTTGCATGTATTGCTGGAAATATTATGTAGTTTAACATTTTAGAGAAAAGTAATAGATTACTAATGCCTATAAGCTATTTTGAATTTTCAGGAAATAATTCAAGGAACTTAAAAAGTGCACAACCTGTGAACGTTAATTAAAGTTAAGAACTTACTATTTTGTTTTCAGTTTTATGTATGGACTTGCTGGTGTCCGTGGTGGGATATGAGCTCAGACAAAGACATATCTAATCATGTTCTTGTGAACAGGCACACTTTTCACTGGCGAGAGCTGTCATCACACAGGTCCTGTTTCTACTTTGTCTCTGCTGCGGCCACAGCCACAGACATGGTGAGTTGAACATTAATAAATCCAGCAGGACCCTGGCTTCCAGATGCTGGTGTATTTTTTAGCTTTAATCAATCATTTATTTTTCATTCATTTTGAGACTAAGATTAATCAGCTTCACGGTATCATCTGCAGCTTGATTTCAGCTTTTCTCTATTTTCAGCTTTTCATTTAGTGACTTTGGTGTCAAACTTCGCAGATTGAGCGAGACACATGGGAGGCGTCAGGTATCAGTGCACAAACTACTAAGAAACAGTAACACAAGACACAATGTGACTTTAAACCTCTGTACTGAAGTTAGTCTTAATGTGGTGTGACCACTGTCACAATTATGAAATGCAAATACTGGGGGTCTTCTTCATGAGATGCCCATTTGACAGAGAGGTCCCCATCTTGGGGGTTGGAACAAGTTGTCGATCACTCACAGATGAGTAACAAGTACGGGAAAATATGATAATGAGTACCAATGAAAGCCTTTAAAAACTGCTCAAATGAAACAATTTGAGAATGAGATATCATTCTGTGGTTAAACAGCTCGCCAGTCACCTGTGAAGAAGTGTTGCAAGTGGACATTGCTTCACTTTTAAGGGGTCACATACCACATGGGTTGGGAAAATCTAATAAACAACTAATTTGCCTTTCTGTTTATTTAAAGTGGTTCCAGCATAGGATGCAGACCTGCTGCTGGTGGCTTATTTTAAGGTTTTTATAGAGCCAGAAGTCTGGCTTACATACTGTCTGTGTCTCATTAAGATTCTTCGGCCCTCTAATGGGCGTGATTGACATGAGAGACCTTGAAAAAGAAGTCTGACCCAAACCTTTCATGACAGCCCCCTCATGTAAATCCATCACAGAGCATTCCCATGATTTTTACTGTCTATCTTGTGAGACAGAAACCTGATCACACTAGGCATGGTGTACACACCTTCACTCAAATGCTACTGAGTGAAGTGTTATAAAGCTCTCTGTCATCCTGCTGGGAGCCCCTGGAATCCTGGCAAGGACCCCTGGGAGTCCCTGGACCCCAGTTTGGAAACCCAAGCGGGACTAATCAACTCACTGACCCTTATGACAGCACGTAGTTAGAGTCCAGCTGATGCACCAGGGTGAAAAAAGAAAAGATTTTAATGGCTTATTGAGGGCTGGTGACATCTTCAGCACAAGTGCAACATCAGAAGTTTGCAACTAAGGAATTTCTGACAGGGAGAGGGAGAGAGAGAGCTTCCAGATGTTGTGTGAGTGGGACTGAAGTGAAATCTGTTCCTGGCCAAACACTAAAATGCTCTCAGATTTTCAGTTTCTCTCACAGCAGCGTCATTATTTAGCCATTAGGTCTTTTTATCCTTTAATTCAGTGTGTCAATGAAGTGACTGACTGCAAAATTACTCTGGACACAAAACAGACCCGAGTCCCTGCTTTCAGATTACAAAATTGTTTCAAATCATAGAGTAAATAAAGCGATATGTTTCTTACCAGTTTGCCTTCTCTGCTTTCCTTTTTATAGTATCCATGATGGCTTTCGACGGGCGTCGTGCAGCTGCCGGAGCGTGACTCGATCAGACCCGGAGAGAGTGAGCAGAAGGGCGGACTGGGGCTGGGGGGCAACCCCGAATCCGGACTGTCGAGCAGCCCTTCCCGGTTCTTTCCTTTCAGGCTATCATCCATCGCTTGTAAATGTAGGTGCCCCACCATTTCTGGGACCACTCAAGTCAAAAAAACACCCCAAAATCTCGCCGACAAGTTGTAGCGCTCCGAGCTGCTGCGCGCTCCTGCGTCAAAAAGAAACAATCCTGGACGAACTTTTTCAAGATGACTTCTGCAAGCAGAGGAGAGGAGAGAGAAAAAATCAGGAAATATGCGTTTAACCATTGCCCATACACTGTGGACAAAACACAGAGTGATATGAATTCTGTTTTTATTTATTCCAAAACTTTACTGTACCTGCGCGTCGTGGAGTATCCACCTTATATATTTAAATATATTCCAAATAGCCGTGAAAAACCAGCCACAATTTTGACACAAATCAAACCTGACACCAAACTGAATTATGAACTACCCTTAATTCAAAAAACTAAACAAAACTGTAGTTAAACTCGCGCAAAAACAAAAAGTCGACAGTGCGTCTGGCACCGATCAGGATGAGAGCTCCTCTGCTCTGACTCTCTGTGTTGGTGTGTATCCGTGTGTGTGCGCGCTCTCCAGTGGAGAGCTCCTTCTTAATGATCCTGCCAGGCTTTTTTTTCTGCACCTGGATCCAGTCCAGCCCTCATGATCTGGATCACTTCCATATACAACCGACAGGGGCGAGCACGTCCTCCTCGCTCCTGCTGTACAGTGCAGTCTGACTCAGTGTTCATGATCAGCACCCCTGCTGAAGTGCCACCCAGCAAGTTATCCAGATCCCAACTGCTGAGCTGGTGATCTGGTTATATTAATATTTATGATTAGCAGTTAGTAATCAATTGGTTTGAAATTGGTAATTATTTACCGATATCAATAAAAGCTAGTTATTACATAATAATAATAATATAAAACTGTTCATAATTAGTAAGTTATTAATTAGTCAGTTGGCACTCATTCAGTTTGGCTCTGTTCATCATTCATGGTTATTAATTACATATAAAATAGTAACTAGCAGTCGGTAGTGATAAAACTATTCACAATTAGCAGTTAGTTATCAGTTAATTATTCAGAGTTAATATCAGAGCAATCAGTTAATAATTAGCAATTAATCACTGTTCTTTTGAATTAGTAAATATCATTGAATAATGTATCCATCCATCTTCTAACCACTTCATCCTCTTGAGGGTCGCTGGGGGGGGGGGGGGGCGGAGCCTATCCTAGCTGGCATTGGCCAAGAGGCAGGGTACACCCTGGACAGGTCACCAGACTATCGCAGGGCTGACACATAGAGACAGACAACCATTCACACTCACATTCACACCTATGGACAATTTAGAGTCACCAATTAACCTAATTCCCAATCTGCATGTCTTTGGACTGTGGGAGGGAGCCGGAGTGCCCGGAGAGAACCCACGCTGACACTGGGAGAACATGCAAACTCTGCACAGAAGGGCTCCCACACCCGGGATCGAAATGGGAACCCTCTTGCTGTGAGGCGATAGTGCTAACCACCACACCACCATGCCACCCTGAATAATGTACAATATTCATTATTTGTTAATAACACTTAGTTAACATACCACACTTAATAGTGATATTACCATTTATTATTAGCAGTTAATTTCTGATTTGTCACTCCTTTATTCCTCAAAACTTTCTCATAATCTAATCTGTTTACCATGAAATTTTCTAAGAACGCTTATGCTCTGACGATGATAAACTGTATTGACATAGATAACCCCGTGGCCTTTTCTCTAACGCCATACACTGAGCAAAGAATTGCAAACATATTGTTCTCTCTTAGTAGGCCGACATGGCCAAGACAACAAAACAATAAAAAGTCAGACAATGGATATTAAGATCAGGCTAAATGTAAACTAAGAACAGACAATTAATGAAGGAGTCATTTACCATATAATTTACTATTTTCCTGAATTTTGCCAAAGATAACAGATTCTTCAATTTAGATTCCTTTTGCAAATGATTCTGGAGAAGATGTGAAATAACGAATAACTCTTATTCTGGGTGAGCCCTGATAGAAGTTTACCCACAATAGTTTTAATAAAAGGCTGATACCAATAACCCAGTTGATGTATGGACAGATATGGTCAGCCAACTCTGTAATGCAAACCACGATGGGTCAGTGCTTTTAATTTGGTTATAATTCTCACAACACTAGAAAAAACAGAGTCTAACATTCTGAGGCATTGTGCAGATGCATTCATGTACATCAAATCATCACAGTCATGAAGTGGTTAAGGTAATGTCAATCATTTAATCCTGGCTTCAAAGAGAGAGAAGTCTTGTGTCTAAAATAAAACCCTAATCTCAGTCTCAAGTTCCAGAATCAAGCCAAAAAACAACTTGTCTTCCCAATATTTAAAATATCTTCAACACAAGCCCAAGTGAGCTGAAACTGCAAAATATCACAGGCAGACTGTTTATGAAGTGCATCTGAGAGAGAAGCTCCACAGATATACAAAACTGTATCATCTGCATAACAACGAATATTATTCTATGTGTATAAACATGTTAATTATTTATGCTGACACATTTTATTCAGGCCTAAGCTCATCTTTTGACGTCAAAAGAATTACACATTAGCTGGATGACTGCACTGAGTAAAACCCAGAACAGTTATTCAGAAATCATCCAGAAATTACCCAGTGTTATTCTAATGTAATCCTGTTGTGTGAGAAAAACTCCCTGATGTCAATCCTTGTTTAGTTTCAGTCATTTAAGAAATCACCAGTGGGCTGCCTCTGTGGAGCACTTTTGCTTTGTTCATAAAGTATCTAGTCACTGACAGGATTATTAAAGGATTACTTCAGTTATTTTTTCACAAGGCCTGCGTGTATATGTGTCTCTGTGTGTCTGTAACCATCCTGCCTGGTGTATTTCAGGACTGGGTGGAGATGGGTGGGAACGCTGTACATCCAGCAGTTACTAAATGAGTGTATGGTGGTGCACGCACACAGAGGCACACACATACTTACACACAGAGCAGACAAAGCAGACCTGAGTGAACAAATGAGCAGACAGCAGTCATCACAGCAGGCAGAGGAGAAAGAATTGAATCCTTGTTGATGGCTCCCTCCACAAACGTCTGTTCTCTCTGTTCATACAGTTACTCTTACCAACAGCAGCTCTGCCAAAAGGGAAATCAGAGCATAAATAAGAGCCAGTGCAGTGCTGCACAGAGCTGACTGTGTGTCTTAAGTGGTTGATTGTATCTTTGATGGTCCACCAGCTCTCCATGGTGATTACCACAGATTGCCAGGAAATCATGCGTGATGTTTTTTGTTTTTTCAGTTCTCATAAAAACTAAGATAACTCTTTGTTTGCCTTTGTTGTCTGAAAGATATACTTAATTGCATGCCTGTTAAGCTTGTGCAGCTGTAATCTTGTTTGCTGAGAATTGTTTTCCCCTCCTCTGTGTTATTGTTTTGAAGCCTCGGCAGGAAGCTGCGGAGCGGCGCTGGGAGTTTTACTGGCGTTCCCCTGCGTCAGGTGTGTTTTTGTGTCATCATGTCCATGTTAAAGAGCCCATCATGTTGATCCTCAGGCATTCGAGGGATTAGTGCTGAGATCTGGTACAGATTAGCTATAAAATACTGGGACACAGATGATGAGCATGTTTGTGGGTTTAGGCATGTCTGTGAGCACGCCGGCAGGAAGCCGTGCAAAATTGCAGCCTCACTGAGGGGAAAGACAGAGCTCATGACCAGAGTGACCATGCTGGAATATTTTGGTATTTTATACATATAGGGTTGGTTTGGTTAAACATCTGCTCTGCTGTACATGCACACATTAAAGGGTCTGTTCACCCAAATGACAAAAAAACAAAGCACACTAACTTGGTGCTACATAGCATTACAGATGGTTTGGGTTTTACTTCTTTTAGTCTTTAAGGTATCCATCTTTGATATTTTTGCCTCCACCCCAATACAGTGAAGGTGAAGAGAATGTTATTTGTGCCTCTTACAGCATTGAGGAATTTTATTTAAAACAAATTTAAAATCTCCTCTCTGAATCAGTGTCTCCATTAAATCGTCAAAAGTTTCCAATGGATTTTTTTCTTTGATAGAAAGTATTTATGTTTAAAACTGTAGCTAACTGTTTTCCGTGGAGTCACTGTGATACTGTTTCTATACATAAATGTAGCTGTTTAATTTATAGCTGCAACCAGCAGCTCTATAGGTCATTCTATTGGTTGGTTGGTTGGTTGGTTGGTTGGTTGGTCGATCCACAAAAATTTCCCCACCCTTTGGCAGTCACAACTTTTCCCTAGGAGGCTGATATTTGAAGGTCTGAAGGTCAAGTGTGTGTGTGTGTGTGTGTGTGTGTGAAGCTGTGTGTGAAGCTGTGTGTTTGTGTTCATGCCAATTGGCTTAACTGGTGTGGGGGTGGCAATGGGCAATTTACTGACTCAGTGTTGCCAACTTGTCCACTTTCTCGCTAGATTTAGTGACTTTTCAGACCCTCTTAACAACATTATTTTTAAGAAGCAACTAGCAACAAATTCAGTGACTTATTCAGACCATCGGGAAAAAAAGGGGGAAAATATTGTGTTGTAATTCATTCCTGTGCATGCTGTTCAGAGTAATCACAGTCCACAACTCTCCGCTGTCAGTGCGGGTACGTCTACCCCCTTCTTTCCTCTATCCTTCATGTAGTAGGTGTGGGACAGGCAGGAGGAGAGGTAACGCCATTTGCCCCGGGAGTTCAGTTGTCGTGAGTTTTTATGGTCACATTGATGCTCTTGCTCTATGGATTGGAGGTGTGAAAAAATGGTGCATTATAGTATAAGCATGATAGCTCCCAGGCCATTTAAACATTTTCATGAGGATTTATGTATTGAATCCATTAATGTACGATGATGCCACCAATATGCAAATGAGCATGTGATGTCATCTGGCAACTTTTAATGACTTTTGGAGCTAGCGCTAGCTACTTTCATTGGAAAAGAGTTGGCAACATTGCACAGACTTACCCATGATTATGTGGAACGACTGGTCACGAACCAAATGACAGCTGATTAACTGTTGATGCTAACTGGCAAAAAGGGGCAACGTGTGGATGGATGCCTGTACGTGGTCACAGCTATTGCATATTTGCGCTTGTTTGAATATAATTTTAAGCCATGCTAGCAGTGACATTCATTTTCTACAGAGGAGCATTGTAAGAATTTTTGCTTTATTTTTGGTTTATGACCAAATTACCTACTGCAAAACATACAGTTTGTTTTCCTGTCAGGCTTATGAGCAAATATTAGCATGCTAACATGCTAAACTAAGATGGTGAATGTTAAACGGTACCCGCTACACATCATTATGTTAGTATTGTCATTGTGAGCGCATTAGCATGCTCCACTGTTGTTAAGTAGCCTACAGCCTCACAGAGCTGCTAGCATGGCTGGAAACTCTTAAAGGCCATCTAGACCAAGAACAATACCTGTAAGGTGTTTTCGGACCAAACAGTTGTGGGAACTCCCTGACAGGAAGTGGCCACTTGGGAGCTCCACCAAGAACTCTATACCTTCAATGACTTTTTTTCTGTTTACGTTCGC